GCCCGGGCGTCAACCCCGAGGATAGCAGTCTTGATGAAAAAAAAGACAGACGCCATGCCCTACTGCCCTTACCCACCCTGCCCAGGACGGTTGGGAACACCGACACTACACATATCCACCAACTGTTGGATGTGGTTGACTTCCAATCATATAAATACTATTCCACTGAGGTCGCCCTTGCTGAAGTGACAGGAGCAGGATATTGGGAATTTCATGAAGTCGAATTCTTTCCTGCAATTGAGTCTATTCAAGCGCTAATCTTTAAGTCAACTATAGTTAGGTCTGGTTTTCGAATGACAGACCTTATTATCTTTAATCTGAACATGGTACTCAACAAGCCACCTGACCAGCAATCTACATCCGCATTACATACATCCTTCCCAATCCTGCAGCCCAACAATCCTATCTCAACTCCAAAAACTATCTGCTTACCCATATGGCATACAGACTCGCTTTTCTGCAATACCAGTGAGCTTTCAGCATTGCTGAACCAAAGTTTATAGTATTATGTTAAGGGAAACTTAGCTCTAACTCAAATGGAAGTACTCACCCTCCAAGATACCCAAAATGCCAAAGCGGCAGAAACTGTGCAAGTAACAAGACAAAAGAGGAGTCGAAAGTCAATACAATGGGGTAGTATACTCTGTGCTAGTGAATTATGAGCAATAGTTTATCGGAAAGAGCTGGATAGTGTGGAGTAAGAATTAGTGATGGCCACGATCAGATCATGATCGAGTTTTGCTCGACTATAGGATGTTCGATCACCTCGACCACAGGGGGTCTCTCGATCACGACACGATCGAGCACGGGATCCATAATCTCCTCGACTTGATCGATCAGGGATACCACCCGATCATAGTGGACTATGCTCGACTAGATTCGACTAAACTCGATCATGATCGGTCAGTCAGTTATATATAGATATCTTGGTAATCATGTGATAATGTATACGAGTAAATACTCGAGCGTGATCTGGGATGGCCGACAATAATCGACTATCTCACATCATTCTCGAGCACTACTCATGATCGATCACTCGATCATTCAATCATGTGTTCCTCTCGATCAGACCATAGTCGAGCGGAACCCGTACGATCTGCTCGATCATGCTCGTGTCCATCACTACAGATAATGAACTTAAAAAGCAGTGGAAAGAAATTCCCAAACAGATGAGAAAGACAGGCAACAATCAGAAAAGGGACAAGAACTCTAGGCCCTTTCAGGTCATCATGAATTTGGTATTTTATTATAGGGAACTCCAATCCAGTATAATAAATCTGTTGATCTATTTCTTCTATTGTTGAGCAGTTCAGCACTCCCTAGGAGTGCCACAATCTTCCATGATCACTTAGCATCTTTCGAAATAGCAGGGACCTCGGCGCGGTTAAGGGCCACATAGTGAGTGATGTCCCGAGACCACCATCAGCTTTGTGGATTCCACGTATTATCTTTCTGAATTCACCCTAATTTAGATCTTCTCTGCCTTTTCCTCCCGTCATGTTTTAATGACACTTTTCCAACCTCTCAGATGCAGAGAACCTGGTGTGTGCTGTTCAGCAGAACCGCCCTCATCACGCAGTCAATAATCCCCCAGAAACATACCCTAGCTTCGCAAGATCCATGAGGTCTATCGGGTAATCGGGGTTTAGACCCCCGGCTCTACCTAACTCGTGTAGGGACTACCTCTTGCGAGTACCCATTTCTGATAATACTAATCATCAGATCAGAGGGGGGCTAGGTTCCATAAATGAAAAAAAAAATTGTACGTGCTATTCTACTTTCAAGAGTGTTTACAACGAATACTGTAATTTGTGAAGATAAAGTGATGCATGCAGAAGAAAAAGAGGGGGGAAGCAGGGAAAACAAGACCCGGAGCAGCGGAATGCCCAAGAGCAAAAAGTACTTGCACACCCTTACCACCAGAATACCCGTGCACCAACCCTGCACTGCGGCCTTGATCCAGGTTTGAATATGAAAAATGGAAGGGAAGGGAGAAAGGCATGCCCCTAGACCAACCCCTTCGGGCTATCGGTAATAAGTGAAGAGGTAAATTAGCGTGATAACTTAGGGGGTTGAAATGTGTTTATTTTCTTTTGTATAGGGTTGAGCTTTTGTGCTGTGAAGTTTGTTAGGTTTTCTTTGATTTGTTAAGATTTGGTTGTGACTAATGTGAATTGATACGACAGCTAACGAGAAAGAAGCTTAATTTTCTCACCACCTGCGCAGCTGTGGGGTTTTATGCTAGCCGAACCATCAAGTGAAAGAAAGAAATATCAAAAACCCGAGGTTGGTAATATGAGAACCTCGGAGGAAAGAATTTGACAAAACCTCGGAGAGGAAGAAAAACATGAGAACCTCGGATAATGAAAAGACAGTAATACCATAGTTGAATCCAGCATGGTTGTGCGGTTGTGAAACAGACGGTGAAGAGATGAAGAAAAACTCAAGCAGTAACTAACGTTGAAGAGAGTGGTGAGGAAAGTACTAGGAGAAACTAACTGAAAGAAAACTGGTCTGTTTGACGAATAAGCACTAAATCCAACAACTGGCCAGAGTGATATTCTGTGGACCAGAGAGGGATAAAAGGTATTTTTTTTCTCCCTTCCCTTTCCAACCAACAGACGAAGATGAGAGACAGGGAGAAAAGAGACAAGAGAATGGACAAAGACAACCCATGACTATGAAGTCTGTACCAATGCTTGGGAATCTTACCTTTGTGTTTGTTCCTTCCTTTTATTTGCATCAATTTTATTTGTGTAGACCTCTTTTCGGAATTCTTTTTCACGTGTGAAGGTTCGATTGCCTGCTTGATTCGTAGGTAAGTGAAGCTGACCTGTTTTGTGTGTTTGTTTTTTCCGACCCCGATCCGTCCCTTTCAATACTTCCATCCTTTCCCAAACCCTACCCGGGCATTCCTACCCCCCCCATAACAACGACCTTGCTCCTACTATCAGGAAGCCCCAGGAAAAACTCAGATATGTGCGGTATATATGATACTAGTAATATACGGTACAGATGAATCCCCGAACCCCAATCACAGGTTGAAAGATATGTCCGATTTTAAGCTAGAGAGGTGATAACAATAAGAAAAAAAGAGAATTACACAGGAATCGGGCAGCACCGAAAGCTAACTCAGGACGTTTAATGTGAGCCGACAGCTTCCGTAATTCCCAGCACGTGAGGCAGTTTTCACAACGTTGGGATGAGTTACTAGATTAACGGGAGAGGGGGAAAGGTGTTAAGGAGGTTGGATACAGACAGATACATTTGGTTGTTCATATTCGAGTAACCTGACAGTGGGGGAATTCGGAATCCAGGAGAATTTCCCAAATATCTACTGGGGTGTTTGGTGGCGCCAGGACAGATGCGGTTGAGGATAAGTAGTTAATTATGGGAGAATAATGGGGGAATTTGTATTCTGGGAGACTGTGAATGGTGGATGTGTGAGCAGGAGGGGACTTTTTTATAGCAGTCATGGGAAATCGGGTAAGAGAGGGAAAACAAATATGGAATGTTACTGTAGGCCACAACTTCCAACTATTGGTGCTTGCTTTAGCAATAGTATATTCTAGCAGTTGAACTATCAATAGGTTTCAAGATAGCTGCGCTACTCATACCATATTGCCGAAACCCCCCCACCAGCCCCACGAACAAAGAGAAGCTGCGCAATCAATTCGTTCCCCACCTCCTCCGCTGCATCCAGTGCGTTTCCATAAACCCCACCCTCAGCATTCACCGCTGCCCCGCACTTAAGAAGAAGTTTCACAACGGATTCGCTCCCCTCCACTACAGCTGCTTGCAGTGCATTGCCGTAATAGCCACCCTGAGCATTGACTGCCGCCCCGCATGCGAGGAGACGCCGCACAACCGATTCATTCCCCGTCCTGGCAGCTGCCTGCAATGCGTTGCCATAATGGCCACCCCGAGCACCCACGGCCGCCCCGTACTCGAGAAGGAGCTCCACAACAGCTTCGTTCCGTTGAGATGCAGCTGCTTGTAGTGCATTGCCGTAATAGCCACCCGGCGCATTCACCTCTGCCCCGTAACAGAGGAGAAGCTGCACAGTCAATCCGCCCCCCCTCAGCGCAGCTGCTTGTAGTGCATTTCCGTACACACCACCCTTTGCGTTCACGTTTACTGCATCCTGGTTTCTTTCGAGCAGAGGTTTAATGGCTACTGCCAAATCTAACAAGCAACAATAGTAGATTGACGATGGGTAGATCCCGGAACCTCTGGGCCCATGGTGGTAATGACCATCAGGGTCATATATATCCAGCCAGACCTGACCAAGCCCGAGGACCCGCAATGCAGCATCCAACAGTAGAATGGGTGCTGTATCCCCCAGTGCCCTTATGTAATGGAACCAATAGCGAGCGCTATGATAGAGAAATGTCGTCTTTTGTCCTTCAGGCCCGGATATAGCATTTCGTCCACTATGTCGTAGTATTTGACTAAGGCAAGCATGTCCCATCCACAGATCCGCTATCTCCTCCGATATATGAGAGTAGGCACTGGGGCCCTGAGCTGCTCGCTCGGAGATCAAATATTCCTTTACCGAGGGATGCGCTAGTCGTAATCGGCAGCTTTCTTGGGTGGAGGATTCATAGTCTCTAGAATCCTCAAATGAAATGAGGCCAGGAAGTTTGCTCATGAGGGACCCCATATCAGAAAGGGCTTCCGAATGATTGCCATAATTTTCGACGTCGTATTTGATCACGACTGCCTCCGCAATCTGCCCTAACGTCAATGGTTCTGCCGAGAATGCGAGCCAATGCATGGCTCGCTGAATGTACTCCCTCTTCTCCTCAGGAATTCTGCCAAGGATCCTCGAGTAGATGGGATCTAAGCGTTGCGGGGGTTCCTTTGACACTGCTGCCAAGTCTTCCGGCTCAATAAAATCTTGATTTAGAATTCGTAAGAGACAAGTTACCCATCGGAACCTTACCACTCCCACCCTTGTATTAGCATCAGTTGAAAACTCAAATTTTGGTATAACATACATTCCCAGTGAACAAACAACGAGTGCTTCCACTATCTCACTCTTTGTTGTTTGAGTAAATCCCTGGAACTTATCCTTGCCATCCAGTGAATTATGTATATATGATCGGATATCTGGATCGATTGTTTTGGATTCTAGAGATATTGAAGAAGGCTTAAGAGGTTTCAGGGATCTTACAATATCGGCCTTGGGACGGCTAGTAACCAGAATGGAAAGTGACTCGACCTTGTTATCGGTAGCTAGTTTGCTCAACCAAGACAGTAGACTCCTCCGGCTAGGCTCGGGGAATTCATCCAAGGCATCTAAGATCAGAAACGTCTTTTTGTAAGACTTTATGATCTGAGAAAATGCACTCTTGAGATCTTCGATACCTGGTGACTTTCCAATTGCTTCGGAGTTGCGATACAGGTTTTTGACCTCGTTGGGAAAATCACAGTCCGAAAGCCCCTTTGCTAGTTGGCCAATGAGGGATAGAAGCATATTGAGCAAGTTCTGCTTCTTCGGGTCGCTGAAGGTAAAGTAAAAATAGGCGAATGCATGATCGCCGCTCACTTCGCACAGTTGTTCGATATCTTTAATGACAGTAGCGCTAAAGAGCTAGTTAGCAATAAAGCAGTTATATAGCGCCTCTTGATATCCCGCGGAGTTCGCACCTTAGAACACTCTTGCCGCATCCGGCTACATAACACAAATGGTAAATATATTCCTCGGAACAAAAGATTTTTCTCCACTGTGCACTTACGCATTCCATAAAGCCAGAGAACCCCCTCTCTTCCTTCCTTCCAATCGACGTACTCACGCCCCCTGAGCAGCCAATTACCCGTACCAGGTGCACGAACATCAAGTGCAGACAAATAATTGGCCTCAGGATCAACGGCATTAAGCCACACCAGCACCTCCGGCGGTTCTATACCTGGGGTTTTAGAAATATCCGATATTAGTAAAGGAGACAGCTGGCAAGGTGAGGGAGATTATGATCAAGTACCATCTAGATTTCGCAACGCATTTGTTACCGTCTCCCTAGACAACTAGTTAGCTTTTCCACCAAAAAGGAGGGGGGGATGGAGAAGTCGAATTCTCAGCGTGCAGAAGAAGAGATGACCTACGTTGGGCCTATATTTAATAATTCTTGAAGCTCCCGTCTCCTCTTCTCAGCCGAGTCTAAGTAACGTCTAAATTTGGACTCATAAAACGGCCAAAGAAATTCTCTGGAGGATTTCCTCCATCTGTGGACATCTACCTTGGCCCTCAGTTCCTCCAGGGCATTGCTATAATCATCCAACCCTCCGCTTTTTTTCCATTCAAGAAGCCCCGGGTATGGCGGGTTGTTCTCATCGCCTTGTGCAGCAAGGTTTGCTATTACCGCCAGCTGTTGCTCAATTTCCTTAATCGCATCCCCCAGTCTCTTGAAATAATAGAGGGTCACCTCATGTCTGTTGCGGAGAGCAAGAACGGCTAGGCGATAGTAGAGACTAAGAACGACTGGGATATCTGCAATGCTGAAGGTCTTTGCCATTTCTTCTCTCACGGATGTTGTCTACCTGAGAAAGGAAGTGTAAAGGTGTTGCCGTGATAGCTCGCTATCTTTGAGTCGGAAAGGATTGGCAGGGACTGGCGTTCGCTTTTGAGGAGGGTAGTGGTTCAAGCTGCGGACCCTTTTGATTTATGCTTCTCAACTGTATAATCAAAGACGAGGTGGGATAGCAACCACCGGTACTCGTAGAGAGAAGCTCCCCAGAGCACCCTTTTTTAAGATTTCCAGGAGCGGGACTCTCAAATTCGAGCGCTTACACACAGGAAGGGCGTCTGCAAGCCTAGTCCTGCAGGCATGACCGTGGGCCGACTGCTGCGAATCAGAGACGGGTAATTTTCTTGCTTCTGCGTTATCTGTGCAATGGAATAAGTCACAAGTTGGTTTTCGCGCATACCGCTCTAAGAGAGAAAAGCAGTACGATAGTTTATTCACGTTGCAAAATCTATCTCCAAAAAGGGAAACCACAATCAGCCAATCAGCTCTCACGATCGTCAAGGCCTATGGTAGTGGCCTCTCTAGGGAGGAAACATCCCGCACGGGGCCGGAAGAATGGCAATATTCCAATGCCAAGTCCATAATCGGGTCCGGTACTCGCCCTACAGAAAGCGCGATAGGACGATAACAGCATCGTAGACGGGTCAGCCTTTGCGACACCGTGCGATCCACTTGGCCCCAAAAACCCCCAGATACCGTGGACTGGGGGAATATGTCACCCAAAAAGCGAAACCTTTGGAAAGAATTTCCTCACCTCTCACCCTTTATGGATGAGGGGGAAGAATTCAAGGGGGAATCCGCAAAAAGGGAAATTAAATCTACTTGTAATGAGATCTTGGATTTCAAATTTTTTTACAGTTGGGAAAGATACATGTGTGTTTGTCTAGGCACACGTAGAAAGTGGAGTGTTTTGGCCATCGAGCTACGCCAAAAATTCGGACCAAACTGCTAAAGGCTTCACACAAGGACTTGGTTCAACATGGAAAAGTGTGGGAGAGCTGAGAGGAGAATGTACCTGGGGGGTTCGAGTTATTTTAATTTTTCTCCTTCCCCCCGCAAATTTATTCTCGCCATTTTATAAAGAGGCTTTAGGTAGCCTGTGGATTCGTCTCATTACCGGCCGATATGCCACCAGCTGGGTGGCAGCCAGGTCTCGGCAAATGATGGCACAGTACTCGAGTAGACGAAGGGTGTCCTACCCACAGCAATGCATGATGAGGGGCATTAAGTTACCTAGCAACCAACAGGACCAAGGCTGCGAATACCGATAGCTTGTACCATTTTTTTTTTTTTTGGTCAGCCCACACATGCCGCTACGGTATTTCCTTATTTGCACCGTGACAGGACGGGGCTGAGGATGGCAAAATCCGTAGCCGCCGCCAAGAGTACGAGTACGAGTACGGTACTAGTACGGCGGGCTCGCTTACCGATACAGAAGCATACCGGGTAGTCTGCTAGAGTAACTTACGAGACGTGCAGTCCCATTGTTGAATAGTTTTATTTTCTGGGCGCCAAGTCGAGAGTTATGCTTCCCTTCTTCAAGCGCGGCGCCAAATGCTTCCATTGTCCGGAGACTGGCCTCGACACCGCTGCCCGCAACCCGGGAGGCCAACAGGCCATCAGGCAACTAACGAAAATTGGACAGCTCCCGAGCCCCGCGCTTTTGGGTACTGGAGCTATTGATACGGTACAAGCTGTCTTTCGGCAGAATGCCGCTACCCGAGTCCAGGCCAGCTAAGTACTACGTTACAGTACTGTACAGCGCGGGCTTCCCCACACGGCTTCCGCTCAGCCCTTGATCGTGATCCTCGGACAATTTTCCCCCTATCCCCCGACTCATATTCCCTACAGCACATTCAGGCCCTGATACCGGAACTAACTACACGACAACATCACCAAGTACCCTCGCTTATTCGGCCGTTTTCCCAAACATCGTCGGCTCGATAGTCCTCCGATTTTTTCGATTCTTCTTCCCCCTATATAGGGGCTCTGGTTAGCTCTCTCCTTGAGGCTGGCAAAATCTGTAGCCAGGGGAAATTGCCTTAGAGGAAGAGGAGAAGGATCGTGGAGAAATATCAATACGGCGACATCGCAGAGATCGGAGACAGTCGCTATGACGCTTCAGTCTACTTTTCATTTCTGCTCGCAGCCACCTTGATTCCGACATTTTATAATAGCAAAGACTGAGCGCAACACGACTTACGAGTCTCTTTTTGGGCTCGCAGCGATAGAGCCGAGCCTGACCGGGAGGTTAGTAGTACCACCACTCCTGGCCTGACCCTCCCCATCACATTCGGCCTTCCTCTCTTTGTGTTGCAATTGACCCCGTTTCTTCAGTTCATATCGTATCCACTCCCCAGCCTCCCCCGCCGCATCCGGCTCTCCTCCCGAACACATTCGGTCCTGACCTCGTATACCGGTAACGCATTTTACCACCCTCTACTAGCCGTTTTCAAGAGTATCCGGATACCTTGGCTCCAAGACAGGCGAAAAAGATGCCAAGCCATCCGAATACTTTTGAAAACGGCTAGTACTCATCATTGCCGTTCGGCCATCCCGCCCCGACAAGTAGACAATCCGCAGACATTAGTTAACACCCCCATTCTGTCCGTTGTGCGTGTGCCACCGAAGGAGTCTGAGTTTGGTCCCGTGCCGGGATGGAAGAGGTCTTGGGGGGTCTGGTATTCACTTGAGTCTCTTTAGGTAATTTAGCACGCTATCGGCCAGCCTGCTTTCGCCCACGTTTCAGTCATGTTCCACCGCCGTTCTACCTCCCGTCCTTCGCGTGTGAGAAATGCCACGGCTTGGGTGTGTACGCTACCCACTGCTACCACGATGTATCTAGCATTCCAATTAGGAGCGGCTGCGGACTTAACGAGTAATGGTACATGTCGCACATATTCCCCCATAGTGCCTATAGGGGCAGTGAGGTTTTCTTGGGTGCGGATATTTTCCAGGGTGTTGTATATACCGTGCAGAGTGAATTTGGCTCACTGTCCATCTGGCGCCGCCTCGGGGACAGGTGCGCTAGACAGTTCGGAACTCTGAACAGGACTTTAAACTGTTTTCCCCTCATTCTTCCTCTCGTTTACTACAGCCTGCATCTCGCATTGCTACGCTAATCTCTAGGAGGTTGGACTGCCCCTGTTTCAATAGCACATTCGGGGGTATCCACAATATCCCCTTGCCATCCCGCATAGGTACATCTTCCCCTTGGATACCTACTTGCAATCTGCCAAGAGAAGTGTTCGGTGACTGCTATGGGATAACCTCCGTTCCCTCGTTTTCTTTCCCATAGTTCATCCCAGGGCTAGGTTCTTTTGTATTTTCCCTTTTTTGGGCTCTCGAAAGGTTGTCATCTTGGTTAAATTAGAAACTATGCATTGGCCGTAGTACTTCTACCCTTTCCTCCGTGTCTCTAGTTCTATCAGCGATTCTCTGAAAGGCCAAGCTAGGACGAAATTTCCGCCCAAGCATCTCAGCTACCCCCCCACCTTCCCAGTACATAGGGTATCCGACCTTCCCCGCTGTCACCTCGCACCTCCCCACATTGTCCCGGGTCTCGTAGGACTAGATGCTCCACTGCCCTGAATGAAGCACGCCGCCCCCGAACTTGTTCCATACCAAAACCCCTGGCCATCTGCCGCCCCGGACCGCTCTCTTTGCCCGGGCGATTGTTTTGATTCTGGCTATCTGGGGTAGTGATAGGTGAGATGTAACAATATTCGACCGAACTGTGCTCCAGTTTCTGTAGGATTTGGTTCCCTGGCTGCTGGTCCGGGTATTTGGAGTGACTGCTGGTGGGGGGTGGGGGGACGGGGGGAGGAAGCCTCCGAAGGGAAAATAGACAGGATCGGTGGAAGTTTGTGATATAGACCTTGTTACGCCTTGCTATTTACTATAAATTTCAATGGCATTTCTCTCCAAACTTGCTTGCCATCCGCACCGCCAACTACTATACTGTACTTAAAGAGGGGATGAGAAGGTCTAGTGAAAATTAAGAGGTAATCTAGGCGAGGGTGGGAAGCGGTGAAGCATACTTTACAAAGGGAAGCCGAGGAGGTGGAGGGTATAGGGGGGTGGGGTAGAAAACATGACAGATGGCCGGTGGTACGGGTGCTGACGGGACAGGATGAGTGAAAAGCTCTCCTCAGAAGCAGGGGGAACAAAAGTGCGAGGGAACTATCTGATAATATATCAAGTCCAAGTATTAGCAAGCGGTAATAAGACTGAAGATTTCTCTCAATTTATCCCACTTTGCTTATTCCCTTGGGCTATCGGGTAGGGTTAGAATTGGGATAGGAACGACATGTATCGTGCCGTCAGCATGAAAGAGGCCGCCGATATTAGGAATCAGACCCAGATACTTTT